CTACTCCTGAGTTAGTGTAGACTTAAAGGCAAGACAGCCTCTTTCAGGACTGGCACAGTAGCTAAAAAGACTGACCTGATCATTCTTGATAAACAGTTGCTTCTAGAAGAGTTTGTTTTCGATATGCTTTTGTCTGTTTCTATTTCCAGGTGATTGCTGTGGCTGCGGGAAAAAGACTCTTAGAATGATGAGCAATTTGCTGTCAATCTCAACTAAACAAAACTATGCTGTGTATGTCATGTACTGGAGAGAGGTTTATTTATGCAGGGTTCCTCAGCAGAGCTCGAAACAACATTTTACTGTTTTGTGGTTACTGTATTTGTGGGCTATGCATACAGTTTCTGCCATGTTTGAAAGGAAACTTCATAGTTGAAACTATGTGAGGGGTTTTTTAGTGGTTTTGTTATAATGGACAGGTTTTGGATTCTACCGACTGGGCACAATCCACCAAACACTGCTGCTCTGCAGTTTTCATTTCCCAAGTGGTTTCCATTGACATCAGTTGCAACTTTGCAAGGGTTGCACCCTATGTCTGAAAACATGATTTTCTTTTTCTCCCCACATGTGGCATGTTTTCTGAAATTATTTTCCCTGTATCTATCGTTGGGAAGTATTGTTGAACTTCATTCTAAACTCTAAGAGCAGTCGTGCGGGATCAGACTGTGACAGGGGTGGGCACTGATGGAATTCAAGACTACGGGAGACTCCCCCCACCAGTCCTTCTGCCAGCTCAAACATATAATTTCAGATGAGCATTGCAGTTGTATTTGCATGTTGTGAATAACCCGTTATTTTATTTACTTCTTTAAAATATGCATATTCCACTTTTTCACATAGCTCAAAAGTAATTTTGATTAAAGTAAATTAGATCATCATAAAGAACATAGCAATTAAAAGTAATGTGCAAGCATAGGAATCTCTAACATTTTTTGATCTGGGACTCATCTTTAACACCCAGGAAGAAAAATGGGTCCCATTGAGCTACAAACATGTTGCAGGAAGTCACATGACAAGAAAGTAAGGGACAGATTTTCTTTAATTTCTCTCACAATCTCTGTCCAAAATAATTGTACATTGGGACATAAATAACAGATATGTAAACAATCCCTCAAAGAAAAGTCATGCCTTATATTTAATAACATCATGTATCTTTTTTCCTTTTTTGGCATCAGATACCAGCAATAGAAAATATTATAATTATTTTTAAATTTAAATTTGACAAAGGTGAAATAATGTATCATTTGCTCAGAGATTCTGAATTAATGGTTTCAGTATTTTATAAGTTTTCCCATTTTTTCCTTTCCTTTGTCCAATAAAAGCTCCATGGCTCAATGCCTTCAGCAGCATAACGATTTGAAATTTCATTTGTAAGTTTCCTCATTCTGTGTAGATCTATCACATACTGCTTTGTAATTTATTAGTTTTAAGCAGATTACTAAAATATAGGAAAAGCTAGACTCCATTTGAATGGCAGCAAAAATCTATCACAGATGCATAAAATTTCACAGCTAAGAGAGTGATAGATCTGGTATTATTTTCTAATAAAAAAGGTAATATCTCCATATGATCTATATTTTGGACCAAAGGAAGAATTAAAAGATTTCTAGGCTCAGAAAAGTAACTATATTTAAAGGCCATGTGATACAGAGTGTCTACACTACCTGCACCACAATCACATACCCTAGCAGAGTATGATATCTTAAGTTACCTCCCTTGCAAAAGTCTAGATGGTAGGGCATTAAAAGTGTAGGGCATTAAAAGTCTAGATGGTATAGGCATGCCTATAATGAGGAGCTGCGGTGGCTCAAGTGGTTAAGATGCTGAACTGCAGGCTGTGGAAGGTCAGTAGTTCAGCAGTTCGAGGCCCGAGTGTGCCGCATGACGGAGTGAGCTCTCGTCTCTAGTTCCAGCTCCTGCCAACCTAGCAGTTCGAAAGCAAGAGATTGCAAGTAGATAAATAGGTACCACTTCGGTGGGACGGTAACAGCGTTCCGTGTGCCTTGGTGTTTAGTCATGCCGGCCACATGACCACGGAAATGTCTTCGGACAGCGCTGGCTCTTCGGCTTTGAAACAGAGATGAGCACCGCAACCCTAGAGTCGGATTCGACTGGCTTTCGAGCAAGGGAACCTTTACCTTTACCTATAATGAGGAACAGTCAAATATAAGCAGTAATTGGGAAGCTCTCCAGGTGGAAGAATACTAACAAATTGAGTAGAACAAATGCATCATGCTCTACAGAATGTACTGTTATAATCTATGTTTATAATCATTCTTATGGCTCCCTGTCTGGTAACTGCATAGAGGGAGTCCAAGGAAACATTGAGGGGCTATAGTCATTGCTCAACAAGTTTATCCCAGTTGGAAACATAAGAGTCCTCTCTGACTAAGCCGAGGTGGCCCTCTTGGATGTTGGAGTGTATAATTTTAACTTTAAGGGGGAAAGCCTTCAGCCAAGCCCAGGCTTCAAAAGATGGTTGTCCCAATTCAGCTTGGAGGGCTATTCCCACTACACAATTTGGTATTCTGCAGATGGGACGTAGGAATCTAAGAAGAATTGAATCCAAGGACCTCCCCTATTTTGTCAATCCAGATACCAAACAAATAAATATAATCCTGCGTCAAAAAACAAACACCCCCCTTCTTGAATATGGTGGTTTGGGTACTATTGCTGATTGTTGTTGTTCTTAGTGTCATTTATAGTCTGCCTTCCTCCCAGAGACTTAAGACAGTTTACAAAGTATGAAAAGCAATCCATTCAGACAGCAAAGAATGCCAGTAAATGCAGCTGTGAGAATCAGGGGGAAGGGCTGTTTAAAATGCACATTAACATGCTCTCCAGGAATTAGCATATCTATAGGGCTGTATGTCAAATGTGGTATGGGTAGAGAATTCAGCAATCAAGTTTCTAACCCTTATGGCTGCAAATATACAGTTGAAAATCTGTAGAAAATCCCCTTGTAGAAATGTCACAAGCTAGAGAAGTGGCTACGTATATTGCCAGTATATTGCCATGCCCCTCCTGTGAGTAACCAACCATCATCGGAAGGTGGTGGAGCTTGGGGAGGGACATCATAGGACATTACATTACATTACACGAGGGAAAATAAAACCAAAAGGCAGCCAGAGTCCAAGATTGGAAGAGGGAGCAGACGTCATGAAGACGTTAGCAGATATGCTGAAACTGGTATTGGAGCAGCTCGGTGGTATTAACCAGCAACTGGCCACACTAAACCAAAACTTCGCCTTGCAGCAGCGCCAGCTGGCAGAGATGGAGAAAAAAGTGGAGCAAGCAACTGAGAAGCTGGTAGAGATGGACACCGGGAACAAGAAGATGAGGAAAAGAGTGACAGAGGTGGAAATGAAACAAAAGCTGCAGGAAAACCGTTTACTTCAGCTGCAAATGGAGAAAGCAAACATGACTCTCAGATTTCAGGGACTGCCTGAAAAGGAAAAAGAAGATTTGAAGAAGACTCTGGGAGAGATCATCGCTCCAGTAACAGGCTTATCAGCGGATGAAATAATAAAAGATATAGAGTCTGCCTATCGGGTATACTCTAATTACATTTTAAAAAATAGCCTGCCTGGGGAGATTGTAGTCAAGTTTGCAAGAACAAGAAGACAGACCAGAGATGTTATATTAAAGGCAACTTCGGCAAATCCACTGAAATTTGGGAATACAAATATTAAGACGCTAAAAGACATCCCATTTGAAATCCGTCAAAAGAGGAAAAGCTACAAAGAATCTCATTTCTTCATCCAGACAAACGGAATACAATATTGCTGGGCGATCCCTGAAGGTGTCATCTTTAAAATTAATGATAAAAGAGAGAAGATTGACTCCATCTTTAAAGCAAAGGAATTTTTGAGACAACAGCTGGGGCCAGAAGCAGAACTCAAAGATGAAGAAACCAAATCGAGTGACTCTGCTACCTTTGGAACGGGGGAGGACTCTGGGGAGGAAGCAGGTGCGGGAGCAAGCAAAACGGTGTATGATTTCAGAGAAAGAAGACAAAAGTAAGGGCAGAAGGACTCTTAAAATAGCCCTATGAAAATAAGAAGATGCTCAAGAAGTGTTCTCAAAATATTAAAATTACTAACATTGAAGCAGTAGTTAAAAATAACTCACAAGTATATTGTTATACTAACACGTATTTACTAACATGTAGTTTAACACGGAAATGATCTCCTACTCTTGGGTTTTTAGTTAGTGTGGGTATCTTTTCTTTTTCCCTATTGTAGTCCCCCTTCCTATATTTTCTGTTGTAGTTATGTAGTCTATTGAAAAACCAATAAAATTACCCTCTTGGGGGTTTCAAAAAAAAAAAAGGAAATTACCATTAATTCTAAACCTTTGCTGAGTTTGAAATATTGCTGTTACAATTATTGAAGTCATTGCATTAACAAATATCAAAATTCCTTCCTCATTGTTACAGCAGCATTTATTAATGACATTAAGAGCTTTCCTTGTACTGTTGCCTAGTTGTCCTTTTCTTGTACTGTCTCCTTTGCATGCAGAAGGTCCCAGCTTTATTTCTGGCATCTCCAGCATTCAGAGAGCAGGTGATATAAAAGACTTCTCTGCCTAAGGCTTTGGCTGCTGGCAGTCTGAATTAGCAGTACTGACTGTGATGGACCAGTGGTCTGATTCAGTATAGGGCACCTTCATATGTGTCTTTCAAAAATGAGGCCTGTTTCATCAGGGTATATATGTTTGCTTAGAGACTTGTACTATCTGTTTGTAATAACATGGCAAATATTTTACAACCTTGTTTTGGTAAAAATATCGGCACTTGTGACTTATCTAACCCTTTGTATAAAAAATCTAAGCTAATGGCCATTGTATGGCTACTTGGCTAATGGCCCACTTGGTAATTTTGCATAATATTACTGAACAATAATGTTGTAAGTTAATAGTTTCATTGCAAAGACAAATTCTTCAGTTGCTGTTTTCATAAATGGAACCAATTAGATCTGTAAACTATTTGTATATTTTTGCAGAGGATTTCCAAAGAAAACAGGTAGAACAGCTAGGATTGCATCTGATGAAGAAATTCAGGGCACAAAAGATGCAGTTATCCAGGATCTGGAAAGAAAGCTTCGCTTCAAGGAAGACCTGTTGAACAATGGTCAACCAGTAAGTGACAGGAAGATTCAGAGGGGGCTTTGGGTATTTAGAGAAGTTTTCTAAACCGTTCCCAAAAATCACATGTTTGGAAAGGAGAGGGTTCATGGGTCAGTGGTAGAAGATCTACTATACCTGCAGAAGGCCCCAAGTTCAATACCCAGCATCTCTAGTTAAAAGGATTAAGTAGTCGGAGATGTGAAAGATCTCAGCTTGAGGCTCTGGAGAACCATTGCCAGTCTTAGACAACGGCTTGGCAAACCAATGTTCTGATTCAGTATAAAGCAGCCTCGGCGGGGCTTTATAAATAAATAAAATCTGTTGGGGTGAGAGAAACAAAGATCTGCAGTTTTCATAGTTCCTAAATGCCTAAGAATTTTACTAGCAAAGGAAATCCATCTGCTTTCTCTAATAAGTTGGTTTGCATTATCTGAAGATGTGATCTAAAATCTTCATTTTACTTTATGCTCTTAGCTTTTCTATTTTCAGTGAACAATTTTATAACAGAGAAAGAAAAGTAGTATTTAATTGACTACTTGGGTTTTTTTTCTTATTTTCATTTTGGGAGTAATATAAGTAACAGTACTTTGTTTTGCGATGTAGATTTGGCTTTTTAAAAATATCACAACTATACCACAGTATTATGAATAGAACAAAGCACCTTAAATAGAAAAAATGCAAACTCTGACAAAACACGCTGTGTTTTTGTTGTTTAAATACTGACACGAGGCATTATAATGAACATCAGATGTGATTGGATCATTACATCATTCCCAGTGAAAAGTGATATCCCAATTAACCACCCTCAGATGAACCTGCACTTTGCATCTCTGTCTGAGTCAGTAATCTGCATTCTGATTGGAAGAGGTGTGAATGGATGAGTGACTCAGGCAGAAATACAAAGGATAGGTAATTTTTTCAAACTTTTGCATGCACTAAAAGACCGTTTGTGTGTGTGTGTGTATACACACACACACACACATATATATATATAAATGATGTATATATCATAATGTCAGCTATAACCATGTACTTCTGGTTACAAAGATCTGGGAAAGCCTATTCCAGAAACTAAATTGTTATATTCATGTACTTCAAAATGTGCTGCAGTTGTTCAGCATGTCCTCCTCATGCTTATTAGCCTGAGATATTGGAACTCCTTTTTCTCCTTTTGGTTTAGAAGTTAACCTACGAGGAGAAGATGGCTCGTCGACTGCTAGGGGCTGACAGTGCTGCAACCGTCTTCAGCATCCAGGAGCCAGAAGAAGACGTGGCACTCCAGGTGCTGCTATGTAGCTTACTTTTCCTCTTGCAAAGCACAACAACCATTTTCTCCTTTTCCCTTGCCGGGTCTCTCTGCATCTTTTACTCTCCCCTCCCCCTTCCTTTTGGAGGGTTGATTAAGACATTGCCTTTTTTGCTGAGAAGAGAGTCATGCTTGTCTGGTCTTATGGCTTGAACCATGAACTGCTGCTAAGGAAGGGCTGCGTTCTTTTTTCCATCCCCCAGGGCTTTTCACAAGCTTTGACTGCCGGAGTGCAGTTGGCTATGCCAGACCTCAGACCACAAGTCCTTGTCTGAAGGAAAAATAGGCAAGTTTGAGAGCCAAACTAGGCAATGTCAGTGTGTGCCATGCCTCATCTGTATTTGAATCCCATAATAACCAGCGCATATATAACTGATTGGGTGTGAGTGAAGGAAGACTAGACGTGCCCCTGTGAATGAGACAGTCACATTCCTTTTTGCACCCCCCTCAAGGGGGTAGGAATATGTAATCCAGCACTAAAAGGGCAGAATTTCTAGTCTTTAAGAAAATTTAGGCCCCGTTCATACGCAGCGATTTGGGCCAGTTGCGGGCCAGTTTGGGGGCGGATCAAAGCAGCGCGATCACACCACAACATCTGGGAAGCGTTCTGCTTCCGCCCCCAAACTGGCCCTTTCTGAGAAAACGCGCCTCAAGTTGACACCACCTACCTCGGTGGTTCAACTCCTTGGCGCGCTTCAGGCCGGGCGTTTGATCGCCGGCGCTCCCTTGCGCCGGCTCAACCCCGGCCTGGAGCCGAACTGCGCATGCTCGGGCATGCGCAGTTCAGCCGGCTCCCGTTCGGGACGTGTTTTCTCCCCGGCGTTTGATCGCGCCGGGGAGAAAAGGCGGCGCGGCCGGGGGATCTGTGTGATCCCGCCGCGCCGTGTCAACGTTGGCGCGGCTTTTAAAAGCCGCACTTTAAAGAGGCTTTTCCCTGCCGTGTGGCAGGGGCCTTAGTTTAGTTTAGGTTTCAAGCAGGAGATTCATTAAGACTGCTGAAGAGAGAGTAGGTAGTTAACTCGTGTTTGCCAGTAGCCCTGTTCATATTTTATGTGAACATGTACAACCCGCATGTACATGCTTACACCTGTTTGTAAGAAAGAGCCAATGCTTTACACATGAAACCAGGGACAAGTACTTGAGTAAACGTTTAAGTCACACAGTCTGTGGTACATGCATTGAGTAGAGCATGAGAATTACTTAAGGCACATATAAAGAATAATCAAGTGTACACTGTACACAGATTGAATGTGCATTCCCTGTAATTTGTGAAGGGTTACTGTTTGAGCCAGAGCTAGGGTAGCCAAGTCCCTCCTGGCAACCGGCGGATGATGGGGGGGGGGGTACTTACCAGTAGAAAAAGGCAGGCCCAGGCCACATTGCTGGTATTACACAGGAAGTGATGTTATCATGCCAGTGGCTTCCACGTAATTCTCTGGTATTTGGGCAAAACCTCTATGTTACACCAGGCTTCTACCATAGATTTTTTTGCCCAAATACCAGAGTTTCACCCAGAAGTCACTGGCGTGATGGCATCACTTACTGTGAGACGATGGCAATGTGGCTTGAGCCTTCCTCTTTCTACTGGTAAGTCCCTGCCAGCCAGCTAATTGGCAGCTGGGGGCAGGGCCTGACGGTGGGGGACCCCCACCTCCACTGGGGTGCCTGGCAACCCTAGCCAGAGCCTCCTCCTGGGTGAGTAGCTTATAAATCAGGGCCCTGGGGAGAAGCAGAGCTGCTTTCTCATTGGCAATCAAGGCCAGCTGTATGGAGGTACTACTAGTGTTGGATGCTGGGAGTGAGAGGAAAGGGCAGTGTTATAGGATAACCTGTTCCATGCACAGACTTGCATGCATAGGAAGAGATGTCATGAGCTGCCTCAAACAGGTATGGGAAGGCCGCTTTCAGATTTTCTAAATAAATGGATCGTGCCATTTTCCCTTGTAACATGCTTAAATGTTACAATGTGGGGGAGGGGGAATCAGCTTTAAAAGCATGAAGTAATAACTTGTAGAAAATCAAAAGTTTGGCATAGGAAATGTGCAGAAATCTCTAACAGAGAAAACATGGATATATGCTCATCAGTCAAATCAGCTAACAGCAGGTCAACTTAAAGCAGAAATGAGCAAGTTCTGAGGACCAGCTAGACCAAGGGTAGATAGCAGTAGTTGGATTGGGGTGGTTATGTTTAATTATATAGATGGATGCATGAATTTCTCTTACATCTCCAAAAATGTAGTGTCTGCTTATGGTATGGTAAGAGCACAGTACCAGATAATAGATTCCCATTCCCATAAAGTAAGGGTGCTTTAGCCAAATCCATGTGTAACATTTGTCCCTTTGTACCATACAGCATAGTGCTTTCAGTTCACTTTCCCCTTGGACATACGGTGGAAGAACACTTTTAACATCTGCTTCTGTTCTTGTTCATTCTATCTCTTTGATCTTTCAGTGTTTGACGATAAAACACAGTCCTTGTCATCTTGAGATCCTTTTGTTTTCTCCATACGGAAACTCTATTTTTGGATACCACCCAAATTCAGCAGTGAAGTAAAAAGTAGACTTTAAAGACACCAGTCATTTCTGCTTCTTCACTGAAATCCCAGTGTTGGTGATTCAAACCATCCTCGTCAATCATTTGCATGTGTTATCATATGTAGTGGACTTTAACAAAAGAGCTTTCTGAGACTGCTGTGTATTATCTTGTTTCCAGTATCCCTCTTCTCTTCTGCCTTTACAGGAAATTGGCTCTTTTGATGGTTCTGTACTGACTCCTGTGGATGTTCAAAAGGTTAAATATTTCTCCTTCTTTCTTGGATTGCTGTCCACTGATGCTTTCTGTTTCCTTTCCTGGCTTTTACAATGCTGTCCCCAGACATTCACCATTGGTCTCTTCTGTTGTGGGACATGATTCTTTAAAAGGCATAATATTTTGGTGTTTTGTACAGTAATTTCCCATGATTAGATGTGTGCTATTTCTTTCCTAGAAATGGCTGTATGTCTGTGTGTGTATGTGGAAACTGGTGCACAATAAAGCTCTTAACTGCACACTAGACTTTTAACAAGTAACTACGTGTCATTTCTACCCATGTGGAAAGGTAGTCCTCCATAGTCGCCAAAGTCTTTTAAATCCAGCATTATCTTTATCCTTTGCTTTCCCACTGCAGGAAGATTGTGACTCTGAGCTCGTGGCAAGGCTGAAATCTTCAGATGACCACCTCTCCTTTCAGTAGAGCCACAGTATAGTTGCCAACATCTGCCCCATGGTTGCTGGACATCTGTTTCCAACCATTGTTTAGCTGCATTCCCAAGGAAAGCTAATTGCAGTGTGTGGAATTGGAGGGGGAAGAATAGTTAGTGTGTGGCAGAAGTTTTAGGATGGCTTGAAATGCAATCCAGACATCTTATTGTGTGTGCCCATTGTTTCATAAGGAACTCATTTAGGACTGAGGTTGTTACAATTTGCTTGTCTATATAATACTGTTTCCTTCTTTGTGTGCAATCCTAATGGATGGTGGGGGAAGAGAATTTGCAGAATGGAGTTAATTAGGAGCATGTCAAACTATTTATCAAATAAAGATGGGACTTAACCTTGAATGTTTTATTTTTGGTAGGAATACAAAGTCTCCAGCTTTGAGCAGAGGTTGATCAGTGAGATCGAATTTCGGCTGGAGAGGACTCCTGTAGAAGAGTCAGATGATGAGGTGGAGCATGGAGAAGAGCCCCTGGATAATAGTGTGGCACCATATTTTGAGATAAAGCTGAAACATTACAAAATATTTGAAGGAATGCCAGTCACGTTTACTTGCAGAGTTTCTGGAAATCCAAAGCCAAAGGTGAGGGAATGGAAACCTGTCTGGAGTTGCACATAAGAGCACCAGACTAGATTGGACAGGGGCATCTATAGATGTTTCCCTTATTTGTGGATAATGCAGGAAGTGCAGGAAGGTCTATGTGCATATTCCTCTTGGCTTTACCCCATTAGGGAAAAAACCAATTTTTGTTTTAATGGGGGGGGGGGTTCAAGGCTAAACTTGAGCATCTGGCAACTTTCATCTCACAGCAAGGTAACTGTGTGACGTGGCCATGTGCTTGTATGTGTCTGCATGCAAGACTTTCCTCAGGATATGGCATTCAACTTACTGGACATCTCTGTTCAAACTAAAACAGCACAGACCTCTTCCTCAGGCTGGATGTTAAAACAAATAATGGTAGGAGAGACCTGATGAAGAGTTTTCTTCAGTTGGGTCCATTTGATTAACTGCTCATTTTTATATTTTGAATTGGATGGCTTTGGGGGGAGGGGGTTTGCTCTGTCTTCCCAAAATTCCATGGATAGAATTTGATACACATTGCATCCACTGAAGTCACCTGAGCATTCTGCTCAAGATGCAGAAAAAGGGGTTTTAAGCGCATGGCCTGGAAGAACTTTTTGTTTTGTTTTTTAATCTAGCCTGATGCAAAGTTTTCAAGAACTTGAAAGTTTGCACACTGTGTTATGGTGTTTTCTTTTGGTTGTTCTTAATAAGAGGTGTTATACCATGGCTTCTGTTTTCTTCCCCAGAAGATAGGTCAGGCCCCTCTAGGAATTGCCAAAAATTCAGTGGTTTTACCAAAGGGTTTTAGCCAATTCCCAGAGAGGCACTGAAGGCGCTTACAGGTTTTCCTGGAAGTGACATCACATTATTGGCTGATGGCCATTTTATTTTTCTCTTGTCACCACTCAGAGTGATGGCAGGAAATGATAGCTGGAGTCAGGATTCCGTGCCCTGACTGGGGAGCTGGCAGCCCTAGATATGCCTAAAGATCCTAAGCAAATCTACTTGGAAGTAAACGCATGTTATCCAATGGGGATTAGTCCTCGGAAAGTGTCCTTAGAACTGCAGCCTATGCAATGTATTTTTTTGCAAGGAGGAGGAGTGTTTTTGCCTTTTTCTCCCACGTGCCGTTTAAATAGCATACTGAGTATCTAAGTATTAGCACTGAGTATAAATTGTTGGGGCGTTGCATTTTATGAATATTTGCCCCACCTTTGAAATGAGGTTTCTTTTGTAATTTGTAGTAAATGTCTAACCTATATAATATCATTATGCATACCATTAAAGTTAATAATAGTTAATAGTTTGAAATTTCATATAATTGTTTTTATTTTGGAAATTTAAACATCTGACTAAGTTACAAAACCTACATTTTATCTTTAACTCAAGTCTTGAGTGCAGAAGCTGAGTATTTGGATGCATCTGTATATGCACAGGGTTTTATTTATTTTATTTAAACCATTTTTATGCCACCTTTCCACACAGTCAGGGTCTCCAAGGTGGACCAGTTGAACTGCCCTCACAGATGAGATCTTGAGTACCTTGAGTTTTAAAATTATGATTTCAGATTCTGAAGTGAGGATGTCTACATGTGAAAAAATGAGCATAGTATCTTTTTTTCTCCATAATTCATTTCCACTACACTACACTGAATATAATTGATTACAATTTGATGGGTTGCAATTTTAAATTTTTTTGAAATCAAAGTAGACAAAGGTGGCATGTGATGGCATCATGGGATAACATTAACACCAGGGGCAAAAACATTGCTTGGAGATTGAGGAAGGGCATTGACGTGATGTGTTTAATTATTGCACAACCAAGTTATAAGTAAAAAGCCATACATGGAAGTAAAGTTTACATCATTATAATAATGTTAATCTAGGACATCAGGGATACACAATTTAATGTCAACATGTATCCCTGCTGATTTAATTCCTGGCAAGCCTTCTAATTCTGTAATGAAAGAAGTGTGTTATAAAATAATTACTGGCTCTTACAAGACCAACAGATGTCAAGTAACATTATGATACAAACAAGTTCAAACTTATTTTTGCAGCTATGTCATTACTAACCTATAGGTTTAGAAATGAAAGTATATCTTTAGTGATTCAAATAAAAGTTAGGTCAGCATATGGAAACACATTAATAAGTCCTTTATTGGCACCAGGGAAGTTTTGCAAGTCTGCACACGAGGAAGCAAGTATAACTGATGCCTGGGTGTAATTAAATCATTTGACCTCATCAGTACCTGAGAATCCTACATGGAAGGGTTTTCTTTTCTGACAAGTAATCTTCAATGCAAGCCCCACGAGTATTGCTAAATGAGGGGGATATTGTTAGAATTTAAAGACCTGCCCTTGCAGCTCAGTAATAAATGGATGGTGTTCAATCATCAGGAAATATGATGAACTTGGAAGAGTTCACTGTTATAGTCTACATGAATGTTGGACAATATACCATTTTGCTTGGAAATGCAAAGATCAGTAATGTTTCATCAGAGTGGCTGTCTAATTTAAGTACATGAGAAGAACCCTGCTGGATCAATCCACAGCACCTGTTTCCAGCAATGGTTGACCAGATGCAGAGGGCACAGAAGGCAAATGCTGCTGCCCTCAGCAGCTGGCATTCAGAAGTATATTACCTCTGAACATGGAGACCTCATGGCTAATAACTGTTAATGAACCTGTCCTCCATGAATTTATCTAATCCACTTTTAAAGGTGTCAGGGTCAAACCAGAGGGGTACATTTCCTCATCTCCCAGCATTTTTTCAGATTTAATAAGCAGGAGATCAGGGACCCAGTTTGGATTGGACTGCGGGTGGGGGGTGGTCTCCCCTTCTCCGCTGGTTTCCTAACCTGAAATAGCCCTGTTGCCATAATGATACTGGAACACATAAGGTTCCGAAAACAAGAGAAGTTAAGCTAAGCTATGTATTTAAGTGCTAGTTTAGGAACCTAGTAAATTCTAGGCCACGTTTATAAATATCTTCAGTAAATATACAATAAATGTACTGAAATAACCATAACACATAAAACTCTCATGTTGTTAATTATAATCTTATAATTGAAGCAAAATAATCATAACATATAAAACTCTCATGTTGTCAATTATTATACTGCCTCCTTGGGGCCATTTTTAAAATCCTTCTTGCAACATTCATTCCTTTCCTCCCCTGTTCCTGATTAGCTTCTTTCGCCAGCAGCTTTGATGCCAGTTCTCGTCATTAACCCCACCATCACAGAACTTACAAGATCAAAGCTCCTCATGTGAGTTTTCCATGCACCGTTTCATTCATAGTGGGGTTCTGGAGACTGGAGTAATGAATGCTGTAAAGGAATTTATTGATTGGCCTGAATAACAGTACTGAGGAAAATCCTGCTTTCCTTACTATACTACCGACGATTTTCCTTCGGTTTTAAATGCGTGTGCAGCCACTGTATCGGCCTGCGTACCGACGATTTTCCTTCGGTTTTAAATGCAGCCACTGTATCGGCCTGCACTGTAATCCCAATAATTGTGTTCTGTGATGGTGCCTTTTTGCACACACTTGTTACATCCTTCCCTAAGTATTTGTGCTTGACAACGCTAGAACTGGTCCAGAAGTCAAACAAATCTAAGTCTGTATACAGTGGATAGGGGGGAAAAAAGAAGTTATTTTTCTTGCTCTGGCCCTTCCTGTTGTAAATTAAAGCAGCTCTTTCCTCTTTCAGTTCATAGTTACTGATAACATTTCAAAGTAATTATAAGCAGCAAGTACGTGCATAGGTCTTAGTCTGAATACAAACAAAATCAATCCTTCGTGGCCTTCACTCTGGGAGACCATGAGAGAGGAGGGGACAGCACAGTGGACATTGGCTGCTGGTTCAGGTCTGATCCATATCGCCCTTCTTGGGGAAAGCTTTGAGTGAGTAGGTTCTGGCTTAGCCTGACTGGACAGAAGCTTGGCTTGACCATCAGTGCAATTCTGTGAGCCCTTTAAAAAAGAAACTAACCCCGAAAAATCTTAAGGAAAGTAGCTCCTGTGTTTACCTAGTGTTGCCACCATTGGCTTCTGGTCTCTGATGGGTAACTGAGTTTCACATTAAGGTGTTAAACGAAAGGAGTTTAGCTGCTCATAATGCCTAAGATGTTGGAGCTGGATCTTCTTCATCTCCCTGTGAACCCTAGAAACGGCCAAATTTTACAGAAGGGATGATGCACCAGCTAAGTATGACGTGGCAGCAATTCAGAGTCCTACTACTCTTGTCAACCTTTGAAACATTCATATTATTGAGAAATTATTATAATATCCACCTTTATCGCTTCTTGTGTTTTGGGGTGTGTGCAGATCTATTGGTTCAAAGACGGGAAGCAAATCTCTAAAAGGAGTGAGCACTACAAGATGCAGAGAGAACTTGATGGGACCTGCTCTCTCCACACCACAGCCTCCACCCTGGATGATGATGGGAATTATACTATCATGGCTGCCAACCCACAGGTAAGCCAACTCTTGGCTCTAGAATAAGCAGGCTTCTGGGCACAGCTCTCTCTAAGTATTTACATCTGAATTCTGAATAATTTAATTGATGGGTGATGTCATTCTGGAACAACCAAAACTTTAAGACATCTGTGCTCATCTGACACCAGAAGGGTGGGACATGTACAGATTGCCAAGTTTAAAACAAGGTGCCGTTGGGAGATTATCATGACAATCATTCTGCATTATGATCTCTTTCTGAGCAACTGCCAGTATATTTACATTTTCTTAAACAAACTTGAAACATCCTGCTTTGAAGTGCTTCCGGGCTTTATAAACACAGATCATTTGTGCTTTTACCTTTGTGTTATGAGAAACACAGGACTGCTGGTGAAAATGGCAGCCCTCTGCCTCCACAGTAAAACAACCATGTGCTGATGTTGGCAAGTGTTTCTTTGCCTCCCAGTGTAGCCAATGGTGTGACATGGGGAATCACGCAGTAATTGTGCATTATAATGTCAGTATATGGGGCAACTTTCACTACAATGGGGGAACTGAAGTACTCCACAGAGGATGGCAGCCCTCTGTTTCTTTAAAAGTGCAGTTCTGCCCTTAGTGCGGACAGCACAGAGTAGCAGCGAACTGTAATGCATGTAGGCCAGTGTGGTGCAGTGGTTAAGAGAGGTGGACTCTAATCTGAACAACCAGGTTTGATTCCCCACTCCTCCTCCACATGCAGCCTGCTGGGTGACCTTGGACCAGTCACAGTTCTTTCAGCGCTTTCTCAGCCCCACCTACCTCACAAGCAGGGCCAGCTCACTCACTAGGCGGACTAGGCGATTGCCTAGAGCGGGCCAGCCCTTAGGGGCACCAATCTGCATCCAGCCCCATACTCTAGGAGTTTCTTGATTATTTGTGTTTTTCATTCTTTCTAAAATGCATTTATTTTTGAAAATTGGTGGGGGCACCAGTGGGGAGGGGGCGCCAGAAGGGATCCCCGCCTAGGGTGCAAAATAAGCTGGGGCCGGCACTGCTCACAAGGTGCCTGTTGCAGGGAGAGGGAGGGAAGGGGATCATAAGCCACTTCGAGACTCCTTTGGGTAGTGAAAAGAGGGGTATAAAAAACCCAACTCTTCTTCTCTGTAGGGGAAGCCCAGTTCAATGACTTCAGTTTAATGACTCTGCATGTCATGGAAGCCCAGTTTAATGACTGTTCAGTTTTAGAATCTACATCAGCATACCTTGTACAGGTAGTGAAAGCCCAGCTCAAATAGTCAAATGTGGTGTATTCTTAGTTATATTTCCTAGCATATATCATCCCACTGAAACCTCAGGTCAACAAATACTATTCTGTATAATGTCAGAATCTCCGTCTTCATCCTAAAGCCTTAAAGCACACATCATTCAGAGAGGTAGCAGTCTCTGTGGGAATTAACTTGTCACCCTTAGCTTCAGGAGATGCTGTTGCTTTCTAATCTGAGCAGTTATTTACATTTCCAAGAAGCTATACTAAGATACGGCCCACATTTCTTTGGATAAATAACCTATCACCTTTCTGAAAAACAAGGATAAACTTAATACATAGAAGAGCAACATTCTATTCCTGGTCATGCTTGCTTGGAAGCCACTCTGGTCACATAAGCATGTACCAGATTTTAGCTCATATCTACTTAACAGCACATCCCTTATTAGCTGTCCATTCCTGCAACCTTGCAAAAAGCAGCAGGATAGACTACTAAACGAAGGCTTGTGGTGGGCAGCACCAAGCGCATTGCCAAAACCAAAATTGCAAGAAGGACTTAATGTTTAAAAATAACAAGTTCTATTGCTAAGACATAGCTTATCCTCTTGGAGACTGTTGTGGTCCGTTATGAATGTTGCTAGGCTACTTAACCATAATGGTTCCATTTTTGCAAAGTTCCAGATCTAGCAGTACCTCTGACGGCAAGATGTATGAAATAACAGGAACGTTGACCTGATATCACAAATGGTATAAAACTATAAAGTACAAATTTTGCTTCCATATAAAGACAATAGTATGGTCAAACCAGTGTCCAATGTAGACTTTACCATAGTGACTTCCAGACTCTGCTGGAGTATACTAGTGAAGGTGCAAGACATGAAGTAATTGTTTGTTAATGAGCTGCACCTGCCTGCTGAATCTCTGCAGGATTTACCGCTGAGCCCGTGCCACACCTTTGCTGTGGATGAGCATCTCTGCCTTATTTATACATTTATGTGCTTGGAACATCCAGTCATTCCTGGTGCTGTTATAGAGCAGAACTGTCCACCCTCAGAGGAGGGTACTCATTGTATCTCTGCAAGAGTCACTTCTTGTGGCTTGCTTCCTTCTAAATATGAGGCACGTCCTGCATAGTGAACATATATGAAGACATTTAAAGAAGCATAGGGCTTGCGCTTGCCTTGAGACAGAGTTGGAAACCATTGTGGCTTTCAAGACTGGCAAGGAAGGCAAGCACAAACTATAACTTGCCAGATTCAACCAGAAGAGCGAACTGTGGTTTCTTTGGGAATCACAGTGAGCAAGGTCAGGAGGGAGCACGCAAGCTTGAGCCTTGCTTCTGTCATGCCAAGCCATGGTTATTAGTATTGTGTATGAACCGTGTTAGAGATGTTCAAGAGTAGCATTATGCCTTTTTGTGTCTCATCACCATGTCCCTTTTTAATAGCCAAGCTATTTAACTGTAGGCAGTAACACAGAAATCAAGGTTTGTCAAATAAAATTAGAAATGTTCAGCTTTAATTCCTTTTTAGCCATTGGACAAAGAGTGCTTGATAGATATATTTATGTTGGACAATAACCAGAGGAGTCTGGATATGAAGCTGGAAGTTTATTTTATTGTGCAACAAAGACGAGCTTTTACTTGGTTCATCCAGTCATTTATAATTCTCTCGTCACAGTATCGTTTCCAAATAAACACAATTATGTCTCCTGGCATTAGCGCAGTTCCACTGTGCTTTTAACAGTACATTAGAGACCAAGGGCAGCAGTGGATTAATGCACCAGCTTTTCACACAAGAAGATCTAGATTCCAGTTGTGTTACATCATCATAAATGGAAATAAGTATCCTTTGAAATCCTAAACACTGATGGAAGTTTGTCCATAGGCCTCAAAGTGACTGATTTGTGTTCTTTTATAACAGTTGAACCTAAGAAGGCATTTGGGGGAAGGTTCCAGTAGGTTGCTCTCAAACTGTCCAAATTATTCCTTTTTAGAAGTAGTAGTAGAGAAAAATGTCTCCTGGTGATGTAGTTTTTGCTAGTTACCAGGTTCAAAGTTGTTTAATGACATATATGGAAGTCCTGTTTTTTGTGCGTAGGTATGCTTTGTGTCTAAGGTCATATCAGAACTTGAAGATGCTAGACCAGAATAGGGAAGGTATTGAAAGGACATTGAGTCATTGGCCTTCATCCGGAAATAGGGGTTTGACCACTACACTCCTGAATTCACTCTGAGACTTCAAGTAGAAAAATAAGGAGGAGGAGGAGAAGAGATTGGATTTATACCCCGCCCTTCACTTAGAGTCTCAGAGCGGCTTACAAACTCCTTTCCCTTCCCCTCCCCACAACAGACACCCTTTGAGGTGGGTGGGGCTGAGAGAACTCTGACACAAACTGCTCTTTTTCAAGGACAGCTGTGCCAGAGCGTGTGACTGACCCAAGGTCACATCAACAGGTGCAAGTGGAGGAGTGGGGAATCAAACCCGGTTCTCCCTGATTAGAGTCAGCACACTTAACCACTACACCAAACTGGCTCTCCAATAACACACAAGCAAACTCCCTATGTAACTTCAACCTTTTTTTTTTAACTCTTTCAGTAGTCATGGCAGGGCTCTGTTGTTCTTTATGCCGTTTCCTATTATTTATGGTTATTTGGCTATTTGCACCCTTGTAGATTACTGACCATTCTCTCTTAGTTCATATGACATCCTCACAGAAGGCCATATTCTTAGGTGTAATTCAGAGATGTGGGCTCTTTCTTGCAGTTAGTGTAGCCAGCCCCCCCCCTCCTGGCCACTGGTAGGGGATGGGGGGGGTTGCCAGATCCAGCTTGGGAAAGTCCTAGAGACTTGGTGATGGAGGCTGGGGAGGACAGGGACCGTAGTGAGGTACATTGTCATAGAGTCCATCCTCCAAAACATGCATTTTCTCTAGTGGAGCAGATCTCTGTAGTCTGGAGATGCGCTGTAGTTCCAGGGGATCCCCAGGTCCCATCTGGAGGTTGGCATCTCTACTTCTAGTTTTTGAATGCTGTTCCCCGGGCCTTTGTGTGAGCAGCTTTCCACACTGTTTGACTTGAACTATGCCAACATAAACGTCCGTGCCGTGGTAGGATTATAATTACCTGCCAGTCCCTTAAACCTCTGTTTATTCATCTATTATTTGCTATACTATATACCCTTTTGCCACACAAAATATTCTCAGAGTGCTTTATGATAAAAAATTAATGTTTCAAAAACCATTAAAGCTTTTTAAAAAGTATGAGTAACTAAAACCACAATGATTCTTACTCCGAAGAATCTGCAAAATAATTAAAGAAAATTTTCTGTCTCTAAAAGGAGATGAAATAAAATGACCTTCAGTGGGAAGGCATTTCACAGCTCTGGGGCCATCACAAAAAAAGTCCTGTGAGTAGCTGATGACAATTTAGCATCCGGAAAAGCTGGTAACCGTGCAAGGCTTCACTGGTGGTCAGGCATGAGTGTGGGGGGACCATTCTATTTGAGTTCCTGGATGAAGGCAGTAAATTTAGAAGAACCAAGTGTACTTTCTTTACTTTCGTGCTAGTTAAGTGTAATTTATATTGATGGCTAAAGTAGAGCTCTAAAGATTCCAGATGTTTCTTAACTCAATAAAAATTTCACTTAAGAATTCATTTCCAGACTATGGAATTTTCCTTAACATGGGGATTTGTTTGGTGATTTAAATTGGCCAAAGAGATGGGAACATGGACTTCCGCCTTTTGATCTCCAGTTCTAACCATTGTTGGGGTCCCCAGGATCCAAACTACTTAACCCTTTATGAGCTTATTAAGTCACTGACACCAGCCAGATTCCAGTGGGCACAGTTTCAGCTCTGAAACATTTCTGTTCACACTTGTTGCCTTTTGTTACTCATATTAATGAAACCATAAGCATGGAAATGCTCTTATGCCAAAAATTGTATCCCACATCAGTGTTCTTTTGTGTGTAAATGTAGAATGCATGCCAGCATATGATTAAGAATATTTTAGTCCTGCTAAATTTCAGTGGGATTAAGCACACTTACAAGACAATCCTTAGTAGAGTTAACCCTTCTAAAACCATTGAAGTCAATAGGCTCAGGATGGTGTACGTACATTTAGGATGCTACTGTTGACGTCTGATCTGGATTGCAAGATTGTGAGGTCTTCATCCACAGTTGATGTCTACAGCACAGGGACAGTGCATAATGATGATGCCTTCCACTGTGCCACTGCATGAACCTTTTTGCCCACTGCCACTGGTTGTGGAGCAGAAGTAGAGTCCTGTGTGGCAGAGCAGCTGGAGAGAGAGAGAGAAAAGAGATACAGGGAGCAATCCTAAACAGGCCTACTCAGAAGTAAATTCAGGGTTATTCACTAGGGGTGATTTCCCACAAGCGCTGCTCCGCACTCACTCTTCTCTTTGGCTCGATGGTACGTGTCAATTTCACACAAGCTGCTGCACGGCTGCATTTTGCCTCGCAGCTTCATGCGATTTTCCCCGCGTCTACTCAATCCTGTTTTTTGAGGACTGAGTAGACACGGGGAAAATCGCATGAAGCTGTGGGGCAAAATGTGGGCGCGCTGCAGCTTGTGTGAAATTGACACGTACCATCAGGGCAAAAGGGAGGAGTGAGCGCGGAGCAGCACTTGTGGGAAATCACCCTAGGTCTTAATCTAGGGTTTCCAAATTCCAAGTGACACCTGGAGATCTCCTGCTTTTACAGTTGATCTCCAGACAATAGAGATAATTCCTTCTGGAGAAAATGGCTGCTTTGGAGAGTGGACTCTAAGGCATGGTGCCCTGCTAAGGTCTCTCCTGTCTCCAAACTCCACCCTCTCCAGGCTCCACTACCCCTTCCATCTGATTTTTTTTTCTTGTTAAATCCCAGTGTGGATTAACTCTGTATGCCAACTGAAGTCAGCTAAGGAATTTACAGGATGCCTTAATAGTTAATACCCTTAATACCATCTTATTCTTTTACTTGTATGTTGAATCCACTGTGTCATGGCCCAAGCTATTCTGCTGGGTTGTCCCATTTTTCTGCCCACTGATCAGAAACTCATACTTGTTGAGAACTTGTAGACTAGAATGATTACTGTCTCTTTTGTTAACCCACTGCTTTGGTCTAATAAATTCCATGCAGTAGCGATGCATTAAGGGGCCATGCGTAAATAACTATATTTATTGCTATTTATAGCCTGCCTTTGTGAATATACATCATTTGAGTGGGGTGGGGTTTTTCCCATATATATATTTGTGCAAGCAAACAATAGCTGAGTGGCTACAAGCACTTTCTGTGTTTGCGCAGCTTGTTTTGTATGTGTTTGGCATGACTTTGAAGCCCTAGAGAAGTGTAGATTAATGGGTAGTTTTGTTAATGGATAACTAAACTCTCCATACCTGTTATGTTGTGTGAAAAACTACCTTCCCATATTTAAACATCTTTTTTTCCCCCAAGAACAGCAATGGGAACGCACATATTTCTGTGGGCAGCAAGTTTCTTTAGAAATACTGGGCTAAAGCTGGAATTAATTAAATGAGTTTAATGTTGGAAAGCAGCTACCCTTGCAAGCTATGTTTAATGGCTATAGATAGCTGCCCTGACGTAAGAGATTTGCTTTCCGTGCCGAGATCTTACATTTACAAAGTTGCCCCCTTCATTTCTGTGCTGGAAGCAGTTCCATGCACACATCTTTTTGAAAGCATCAAGACCTCTGTACTGAAATAACCAGCTGAGGTCTTGCTGCTGTCTTGGGGTTTTTTCCTTCATTCCCCCTGCCTTTTAAATGATAAGCTGTCTGCTGTGTCAAAGAAAAGGGGAGGGCTCATCTGGTGGAATAAACAGAAGATAAACCTTCTGCTTGACTTCCCAGCTCAAGCAGTCCTGCTTCATGTACAGACCAATGGAGCCACCAAGGGTGGAAGGCAGCTTCTGAGAACAAAGAACATCCACAATGAATTTCAGAGCCTTCTTTTTCATTGGGTGACCATGGCAGCACTGGCACTGTACGGCAGGAGAGTATTCCCCCAGCACAGATTTTTTTTAAAATAGTTCAAACAAAACCCTTGGAAAATAATAGTGATACTGATCGTGTACTTGTTGTGATCCTTCAGTCACAGATGCTGTCCAATAGCTTGTGTCAGAGATATAAACATATTCCTACATGTCAACAACTGCATTTCCCCAGCCAAAATCTATGGTGGTTCCAGGCGGAGTCCTTGCTGCAAATGGATAATTGTTCTTTTACGGTTTATTCCTCTGGCATAAGGACCTATTGGACAGTGTCTCTGGCATAAATGATCATAACAGGGTTGGAGGAGTAATGTTCTTTATTAAAGCTGCATGTCAGAGAGTTCTGTTTTCCTAGCATCCTCTGTGCAGTCACAGGTGGGGTTGCACTTGTGAAGTCACAAAGCATGATGTTCTAACAAATGTGATGGTTTATATAAACCGCTTTACTGGTTCATCAGCAGAGGTGATCTTTGTGATTTTGAACTGGAGCAGAAAGTCTTAGACCTATTTTCAGAGCACATGAGAGTTTATGGCTAGCAGATCATGGAAGATATACTTGCTGCTGCAGAACCTCCACTAAAGTGAGTGAGACACCACAAATGTAACTGGGTGTAGAGTGGGACTTTACTTCACTGTGACAAGCATTGCTATTGGGATGATCATGTTTCTACATCTGATGATTACAGAGGTTGCATTTGCCCATTCGTCCAAGCTAAGGCAGGGCTTTTTTTTGTGTGCTGGCAGGCTAGTGCAGTTGCTGTCTACCTAGTTCTGCCCCCTGGCCCTTAAATACTTCCCTGAGATCTACCACCCACCTTTGTGCTGACCCTCCTGTCTTGCAGGACCTTCTGGTGTGCAAGAAGTTGTTATGCCAGGATAGACAGACACATGTTATTGTAAAGAACATCTTCAAACAATTTTGTTAGAAACAAACATTTGGTAAAACTATGTGACTGGCAAGGGCAGACATTTGTTTGTTTTAATTGCTAAGAAATCTGTTCTGTGTAACTGCTTTTCAAATGTTTAATTTTAAATTCCCCCCCTGCAATGATTGATAGGGCAGGGTAAGCTGTACAGGAAGGCTGATGGTCCAAGCTGTCAACCAGAGAGGACGCAGTCCCCGGACACCACCTAACCAGTCTCATGTCAGAAGGTACGTTAGTCATGTATTTCTTTTCTGTCTTCGCTTGCAGTCCTAAGGGCAGGGGGGCAGAACTAGGTTCCACTTGAAGGAAGAAGGGGAAAGAAGTAATAACAAAATACACAGAAACCAATTTGGAATAAAACAGGCCACAGCTTCATTGGTCACGGAAGATGGGGCACTGGTGCCACATGGGTCATGGAACCAAACATTGGGTGACACACACCCCCGTTGGCCAATGAACCCATACCCAGCCCACCTGCTGTAGGAACCTGGAGCGGCAAGCAGATAATCCCACAAAGGCACAGGGCTGTGGGTGGAATCCTAGCCACCAGGGAGTCTCCAAGCTGGGCATGCCACTATACGGCTTGACCCCCATGACCCCTTAAGGGGGTCCCCACCTGGGGAGGCAGGATGCAGGCACGGCCTCTCCCCAAATGGATCCAGCCCACTGCCTGAAATTGCCACTAAGCTGTGACAAGAACAAATAAGAAAACAACCACTCAGCTACTGGGTAAAGGGAGGGGTACCAGGCAAAATGAACTCCTCTGGCAGCATGCAAATGGGGCTTTAAACAGAACGGGAGAGGGGCAGCCGCAGCTGACCTGCAGTCAAGCCTGTCCTCCAACCAGCCCAACAATGCGGGAACCTATGTGGATGGCCGGTTGGCTGGCTGCAGGTACAAAGGCTCACTCAGGGGAACCCCATGGCAACGCAATCCAGCCAGCCCAGCCACACCATGAAAGCCCCCTCTACCTCTCTGGTGCCCAGCCTGTGGCCACAAAGCAGCTCCTGGTATGTTAGAGGCTGTGAATTCTTCCTGTATTTAAAATCCATCTCCCCGACCCCTCCAGTGTTCCAACTGCTTCCTATACATTATCTTGTTGCAAGGATTGCCATAACCCTGTAAAGTAGCATATTAATATTGTCCCCAAGTGGCAGAAATGAGGTGAAAGTAAAGTGGTTTGACTAGGGACACCCAATGAGTTTTTGGCAGAAGCAAGTTTTGAACCCAAGACCTCTGAGCTCATTGTCTTAGCTAATGCAAATGTGAGGAATGCCTCATGCCTCCCACATTGAAAAAGGTTTTTCCTGTTTACGTCCCATCTGGCAAGTCATGTTTCAGGGTTCTGTCAGCACTTGCTTTTTGATAACTGTAGAATAGAGCAGACCTTATGTGACTCATAAACAGGAAGCCTCAACTTGAATGTATGTCCTAACAGACATGTAGAGAGTGTCTTTTGCTCCAATGTCTTACTCATCTTCTTGCTCAATTTATTTGCCCATACTGAAGTTGAGACAACTACTCACTCCATTCAGCCAAAGGCCAAAAAATGTTTAATAAACATAGGTAGATCTCAGCCCAATTCAAAACCTAGTTTGAACTTTATTAGAGCTTTGGGGGTCATAGGAGCAGTGGGAAGAAAATGAAAAGGGTCTTGTACTTCTATTTCTGCTTGTAGTCCATTGATTAGAATAACTAGGATAGTTTAAAACAAAAGAATTGCCATTTTAAAAATGAAGGACCATAGCAGCTCCTTCATTTTTTAATTTTTAATTGATATATATATCCAGATATTTTATGCATATCTTAACACTTCATTTTTCATATTCTCCTCTTTCTAAGAATCAAATTAAACATTGAAAGCATATAAGTACTGTCTATCCTCGTTATCTTATTCCCTTTCTTTACCCGCTTGCCCAAACCGCCATACAACTTCCTCTAATTTATGATCTAAACATTATTACATTCTTCTTTTAAATTATTCAAGACTTCTATACTTCTTTTGCTGTGACTCGGCACAGAACAGGGATTTATGGTTTATAATAGAGGATTTAATACCAAAATATGACTTTCACATCTTTCTTCTATCTCTTTCCTCCTTACTTTCTACCACTATGCTTTTCATCCATTTTATTCAATTTCTTAATGTGGAGTTAACCAGCACAGGCTTTGGTACCAGCCTCCCAACCCATCCTCCTCCTTTCAGCCTCCAAGTCTGTCTAGCTAGCACATCCTACCTGTTGGGTTGGGCTGCCTACTCCCATAAGGAAGTGCTTCCAGTATGGTGCTGGTGCCCTTCCCTCTCCATAGTGGCACCACCGCCAGGTAATTCTGTTTGGAAACCTACAGGTCATCTATGTAAGCTGTGCCACCTTGGAGATGCTCACTGCTAACTCTGCCAAATGGGCAGCTTTACTAACAAAGTTAGCCAGCCACTATCAAAGGTGGGCATTGCCTCTTGAGCTAACACAGTCTTGGCCCTTTGTGTACTTTATTAATTCTCCAGCAAACACACCCAATAATCAGTATAGCTAGGGTGAGCTTGTTTTAATTTGTGGGCCGGTCCTATAATTGTTGGCAAGTAAGTGAGTGGACAGGCCATATTGGTATGCCAATGTATGTCATCATTGCCGTGTTGCGTACAGTCTCTTCTTTTCAGACAAAGCATGGCAACATAGTGTAGTGCTGCAGTATGACAGAGACATGACTTTCAGTTTGTCAGGACAATTACTTGCCCATATGGGATTCTATAGTCTTTCTGGCTATCTCAGCACAGTCCTTCATACTGTTCTGGAGAATACTGTTCATATCCTGTTCTGGAGAAACTCCAGCTGACATTACAACAATTTCATAGTAAGACTGAGGGGTGACATGATTGAGGTTTATAAGATTATGCATGGGATAGAGCAGGTAGAGAAAGAGGTACTTTTCTCCCTTTCTCAGAATACAAGAACTCATGGGCACTCCATGAAATTGCTGAGTGGTCGGGTTAGAACGGATAAAAGGAAGTACTTCTTCACCCAAAGAGTGATTAACACTTGGAATTCACTGCCACAGGAAGTGGTGGTGGCTACAAGCATGGACGGCTTCAAAAGGGAATTAGATAAGCATATGGAGCAGAGGTCCATCAGTGGATATTAGCCACAAGGTATAGATAGGGGCTCTGGGGCAAGTGATGCTCTGTCTTCTTGGTGCTTGGGAGGGGTCAACAGTGGGAGGGCTTCTAATGTCCTGGCCCCACTGGTGGACCTCCTGATGGCACCTAGTATTTTTGGCCACTGTGTGACAGAGTGTTGGACTGGATGGGCCTTTGGCCTGATCCAACATTGGCGTCTCTTATGTTCTTATGTTAAGATGGAGTTCGAGAATGCTGGTGTCCCAACTGTGTCCCCCTCAAACCACACTGAGTTGGATTTGTGCAGTCCATCAGTTTGCTTAACTGGTTAGTATACAATAGAAAATAATATTTTTGTCTGTTCTTTTCAGACCTCGATCTCGCTCAAGGGACAGCGGAGATGAAAATGAACCAATCCAAGAACGCTTCTTCCGACCTCATTTCCTGCAGGCTCCAGGAGACTTGATAGTTCAAGAGGGAAAACTTTGCAGAATGGACTGCAAGGTACATTTTTAGTTTTATTTTAACCTTCAAATAAAGAGTACCTTCAACTGTGATTTACAATTCATTTATATCTTTTTTTTAATTTTACCAAATACAGAGGAAATTTTAGAAACAAAGGACTGCACCTAATAATTAGAAGTGAATAAGTTTTGCTTGAACCCTGTTGCACTATTATTTGTATATCAAACCAATTTGAGTTCATTGAAAGTGTGATGCATACTGGCTACTGAAATGGTTCCTGATTTAATTGATTTTAGCATTCATTAAATGTATAGGCTGGGTTCCAGTGCAGCATTGGAACCACAATTTTATTTACGTCTTCAGCAGATACTGAAAGTCCTTTAGTCCAGAGATGGAAAATACAGTTTGGTGTTGGGGTTTGCTGCATGAAAAAATAGCATTGAGAAATTTAACCATAAGACCAATTCTGCAGATAGATGAAATATGTGCCCCCTCTAGTGGCTGTAAAGAAAGGAATATCCAGAGCAGCCAAATAGCTTGCTCACAACTTTAATGCCAGTAGCTCACAAAGTAGAATTTTTGCTCACAAGACTCCACAGTTTAGAGGGAGCATTGTCTCAGGTGCTCCAATGTTTCTGAAATTTGCTTTGAACCAGTGTTTCCAAAAAGTGTGGACAGGAAGGTGCAGATTTCTGCACCTTCCCATCCACAGCCAGTGCCATTTCCTTTTCCCTTGCAGCTGCCATTTTCCCACTCACTCCTCCTGCTAGTTTTTTAAATCGGTATTGGGTATACTGGGATAATACAATAGCAATTCACCAGCTACTGGTTTCTTTTAAAACCCTACAAAAAGCCCTCTGCTGACTGTGGGGGGCACACATCCTGGAAGGAGACAGCCAGTGTTATCTTTAAGATGGCTGCGACCGCGTGTGCCTGGCCATGCGGTCTACTGGACTCACAGACCTTTGGTTCTAGAACAATAGCCACCGCAGATCCTAGCGAGAACCAATGGGAGCGCTAGGATCCTGAAGAGACCCTATTGTTTTTTTTAACAGTTTATTTAGGTTTCCAATATAAAATAAGATATACATCTTTTACATTTGTATTTCATACATCCTGTCGAGTCTATTACAAAGAGTTGTCTTTTACCCATTTATAGAAATCTGCCCATCGTTCTTTAAACACCATGTCATCTTTCTTTTGCAAGATTACTGTTAGTTTGTCCATTTCTGCGACCTCTATAAGTTTCTCTATTAGTTCCTTTCTTTTAGGAATCTTTTCTTGTTTCCAGTTCTTAGCGATCAAAATTCTAGCCGCCGTGAGCATGTATGTTAGTATATATACATTTTTCCCTTTATATTCATTTGGGATTATATTTAACAAGTAAGTCTCCGGACATAATTTTAAGTCTATATGCAGCATTTCACCAATTAAATTATGTACACATTTCCAATAACTAAATACTTTTTCGCCGTTCCACCACATGTGGATAAATGTTCCTACGTTAGATTTGCATCTCCAACAGTTTTTATTCGATGTTTTATATGCTTTTGCTAACTTTTCTGGAGACTCAAGAGACCCTATTGTTAATGGGGCCATGTATATAGACCTATCACAGGAATCGGGGGTGTGTTGGGTGTGAGTGTGTGCACGAATATAAGCCGGCCTCGCAACACTTAAGTGATCTCTTTTCATTTCGATGTAATCGATAAATGTGAGCTGATTTCACTATGCTACGCCTGGAACGCCACTACTTTTCAGCCAGGAAATGAGCTAAACGTAACCTTGGTACTACAGTCCTTCCAAAAGCAAGGTAGCTTGGACAGTGGAAGAGGAATTGTCAGTCTTCTGGTGCTGGAAAGAGAAAACCGGGTGGGAGGCTGCAAGGAAGTGGTTTTCAACTTTGGCCTGGGAAATTCCTGGTGATTTTTTTTCGGGGGGGGGGTGCCTGGGGAAGGCAGAGTTTGGGGAGAGAGCTCAGTGGAGATGTGATGTCACAGAGCCTGCCCTTCAGTGTTGTCATTTCCTCCAGTGGAGCTGATCTCTGGAAATCAGTTGTAATTCTTGGGAAACTCTGGGCCTCACCTGGAGGTTGGTAACCCTAAAAGGGCCAGGGGAGAAAGTTTCCTTCATACCTCCCTGTGAAGAAGAAGTGTGGCTACTGTTGCTGCTCTGGGAATACAAGAGAGAGCTGGCGAGAACAGGCCTGGGTGGAAGGAGGGCAAGTGGTGGTGGTGGTGGTGGTGGTGCTGAGGCTTGGTTTAGCTCTTCCTTGAGCTGCCAAGCAGTGGCTGCCTAGGCACGGCTCCCAAGCTTGTTGTCCTAGTTCAGGGACCACATTTTTTGTGTTCTGGAGAAGATGCAGGGATCCCAGCTCTCTGCTACAGGATAAACCGTCAGTGTGGACACTGTTGCCACTGCAAATGGCTGTGCAACAGGGAATCACCCCTATCTGGAAGCAGGCTTTGTAAACTTTTTTTAAAAAATTATAGAGTGGTTTGGCATTTTAAAAGACTTTCTTGTCCAAATCAATTAATTTGAAATAACAGGAATTTTGTCTTGGTTGTGACTTCACCAGATTTTTCACCCTTTGTAAAACAAAATGGTCATTTTGCATCCAGGTGAAAACGAATATTGGATTCAAGGATTTAGCCTATTTACAATGCATTCAGGATGGTCAAGATTAAATCTAAAGGAAATAAATTCATGGATCTAGTTCGAAGGTGTACGTGCCTCTTTGAGAAATATACACACTCTGTCTTTGAATACAACTTGCATAGGTAGAGAAGTTGTTGTTGTTCAGTCGCACAGTCGAGTCCGACTCTCTGCGACCCCATGGACCAGATCCTGCCAGGCCCTCCTGTCTTCTGCCGTCCTCTGAAGTTGGCTCAATTTCATGTTCATTGCATCTATGACACTGTCTAACCATCTCATCCTTTGCCGTCCCCGTCTTCTTTGACCTTCAATCTTTCCCACCATCAGGGTCTTCTCCAGTGAGGGCTCCCTTCTCATTTGGTGGCCAAAGTATTTGAGCTTCAGTTTCATTATCTGGCCTTCCAGGGAACAGTCAGAGTTGATTTCTTTTAGGATTGACTGATTTGATCTCCTTGCAGTCCAAGGGACTCTCAAGAGTCTTCTCCAGCATCATAGTTCAAAAGAATCTATTCTTCGGCGCTTGGCCTTCCTTATAGTCCAACTCTCACAGCCATACATGACTACTGGGAATACCATTGCTTTGACCATGCGGACATTTGTTGGCAGGGTGATGTCTCTACTTTTTATCATGCTGTTTAGGTTCTCCATTGCTTTCCTCCCAAGGAGCAGGCGTCTTTTAATTTCATGGCTGCTGTCACAGTCTGCGGTGATCTGGGATCCCAGGAACGTGAAGTCTGTCACTACTTCCACGACTTCCCCTTCTATTTGCCAAGGAGTGATGGGGCCGGATGCCATGATCTTAGTTTTTTTGATGTTGAGCTTCAAGCCCACTTTTGCGCTCTCCTCTTTTACCCTGAATAAGAGGCTCTTTAGGTCCTCTTCACTTTCTGCCATTAGAGTAGTAACGTCTGCATATCTGAGATTGTTGATCTGAGGTTGTAGAGAAGTACAAAATGTTATAAATCTGTAGTGAAATTCAGACTCTATTCCTTTCAACCTATTTACTCTTACAAAGTGGTTAGCTGAGAATTCTCCTGTTGAAGGGTATTCAACAACTTTTGTATAATAGAATTAAATGGCATTTTTACTAGCGCAACCCTTTCTAAGCAGGAAACATTGAGGTAGATACCTTTTTGAGGTTAGTCTG